TACAGAAGGGTGTATAGCGATATCTGTAATACTTTTGGGAAATAGATAGATAATTTTAAACACAACTTGCATTGGTTTGGAACTGCTGAAAATAAATTCGCGAAACCTCCCGGAATGCGAAAAGTTAAGAGAAACAAGAGAGTCTAAATGTATTACATTGGTGACAAGTGCTCTACACAAAAATTAACTTACATAATTCTAATCTTCGCAAGGACAATCTTCTAAATAAAGTATGCTTAAACTTTGCTTCTTTGGCTATTTTTGTTTTTAATTCCTTCATCGTTTTAATAGTTCAAACTCAATTTCATTATTTATGTCAATCTACATACTGGAATTTGTATAGTCCTTTTTTAATTGTCTGTTTCCTACTGCAGTTAATCATTTCCTTATCAGAGTCTCATAGTCAGAGTTTCGGAGTCAGCATCTCAGAGACAGAGTCTCCGAGTCAGAGTATCAGATTCAGTTCTTATCATCTAGTAAAATATAATCACATTACGATGAAGCAAAGAGTATCTAAAAACTGAATTTGTGGGTCTTGTCACGCTCTTCGCTTATTCGATTTTTTCAGACTAGCTGACCTGTGTGTTGATTTGAAACAGCAACCATGGTGGTCACTTTATTCCTGCGACATTGATAAATAGTGTGAAAGAACACTGTCTTGGTTTAAAGCTTGTTTACGCGATACTTGATAACGATAAGTTCTATACTTTTTTACTTTTGGTTTAAAAAACTTTTGTAGTAGCCGTTTTTGATTTCTCACAACATAACAATTATTGGAATATAAATGTGCAATTTTGACTAAAACAGCGCCTATTTGTAATTTTCAAAGAAACTAGGGTTTATTCAAAAAATCTTAGAAGGGGTATTAAAGTTTCGGGTAATCTAATCACCCAAGTATTATTTGACTACACAATTTGTACTGGCTGTAACTTCGCCAAGTTTTGGCATTCTGAATAAAATTTTTAGGGAGTATACAAAGATGTGAATAATTATAGATTCAAACGTAAATACGTAATATTTTGTTGAAAAAAGAAGTAAAAATCCCTGAAAATAATTTGTAATGTTTTTTTGATACTTATTAAATTTACTATGAAAAACTAATTTTGACCTATAATTAACATAAAATATAATTATTTACACCGTTGTAGTTGAAAGATATTACTATCGAATAATGGTATTTGCGAGAATTGATTTCTTGAACTCACATAGATGATTATATTGATACGAACGAATGACACATCGGTTAATATACTGAAAAACCGCTGTATTCATGTTGCTCGTCCAAAACGAATCACTACTCATCTTCTTTTTATATGGATTTATTTTACGTCGCATCTACTGCATGGTAATTAGCGACCAATTTGATTGGGTTTCTGGTGGTGCTATATACTACTGTAGAGTTTGGTGTCCTTGAGGTAGTTGATGGTATTTTGCATATGTTCCTGGGATGTTAGAGTTGTTTCTGGATTGAGGATATACTTCCTTCTTTGTTGATCGAATTTGCTGCATTCGTATAGTAGGTGGTCAGTTGTGATTTCCTTATTGCAGTAGTCGCAGTGGGGAGAGACCGTTTTCTTTAATATGTATTCATGTGTGATTTTTGAATGTCCATTTCTCAATCTAACCATAATTATTTTTTCTTTCCTGGTCATAGAGTACCGGGATACTGTTTGGTAAAAGTCGCCCGTTATATTGTGAGTTTTTGTTCTTTTGTTGTTGCATATTTTCTTCCATTCTTCCATCTTTTCTTCCATTCCATTCTTGGGATTGGTATGGGATTTCTATTTCATGTTTCTTTCCATTTTATCTTATGCTCGGAACTGTACATCTAATGAAGGCTCCACAGCTTACCTGTCCGTAGAAAACAAACATCCCTGATAAATCTGGCCAGTGATACACGGTCTCAGTACCAGTCCCGATAATCGCGTCATTATGCAAACAAACGAACAGGCGAGCAGACGTCGCTCGACGCTATTTAATAATGAGACGCTCTCTATTACTGAATGGCTATTAGCGAGGATGCGGCGGGCAGGGGTGGCTTTCGGTTCCACTTCGTTCACAGTGCAATCGGTTAATCACCGCTCCTCTCATCCCCATTCCTGAGACACGATTTAAGCGGCAGCTCCGTGTCCCGCCGACCCCCGCGAGTCCCCATATCAATTAATCTTACCCAGAATGCAATAACTGTCCAATCTGCCCCGGTAGCTGCGTCACGGTGTCGCGCAGTCAGCGCTGTAACGCTCTCCTTTCTCGTCTCGCCCCAACAGAGGCCAACGTCGTCCGTCTTTCTCTCGTCTCGGAGTCGTTTTTCCGCTCCTTCCACCGTCCAAACGATATCCTTCGTCGCTTTCCCGCGAAATCCGTGGAAGGTCCTCGAAACCAGAGACGGGCAAACAAACTTTTATCGCAACGATACATGACGAACGAGAGTAAAGCATCGAAGAATTTTACTCGCGACTTTGATTCAGTCGAACTGTTACACGGATCAGTTTTTGTTCATTGTGCATCATGTTTATGGTGTTTAACCCTTCACGGACTGGCGTTTTGAAATAAGATATACGTTGTGTGCGGAATAGTCTGGTAGTGCGGAAAATGGTGAGTATGATTGGGTATAGATACTGACTGAATGCTAATAGGCGTTTACCACACACGGTCATTCGATCAACTGAGTGTATATATGTAATTATGCATCGATCGTCAGCAAAGAGTTAACTATAGATGAGCAATTATTGTTTAGGGAGTGATTCTATAGAAGCGATTCTCTCGTTAGTTATGCTAAAACTGTGAATTATGTAGAGAGAAATGAAATCATGAGAAGATCAAATGAAATTATCTATTTTTGTTTAAAGATCTGATTAGATTTTGAACAACCCATGAATAATGATAGTTATCTACTTCGACTGTAATTCCCTAATTTTTCTCATATACACTCGTTATTTGTAAGTATTCAAGAATGTGCTTTGATTACAGTCAAAGCAAACTTCAATTAATTATGAAAAAGATAAACAGATTATCTTTCTATATATTCTAATAATGGAGACATCACGACGGATAACACATTCACGACATCGCAAAATTTGTATCGTTAGGCCGAAGATAAAAATTACAAAATATGTTTTGAAATATCAATGTTGTAAATATGTAGTGTATAAAACAAAACGATTTTCATAATTTTCTCATAACCAGGAATAGAATCTGAAGTGACGTGAATTCACGTCGCGGTCGCGAATTTGTTAAGAAAAAAGAAAAATCTCAGTCTTATTCGCATATTTGTAGCAATTAGTCATTCCAACGCAATTACGTTGTCACTGATTTTCGTTTTATTTCGACTTAAAAATTGCTGATCTTTAATAAAACACTCTCTATAATTTCCTTCTACATATAATACATACAGGAACTCTTGTTCAACGAGTAATCGAAAAAACTTGTTTATCTTTGTTGTTTGTTACTCTTTCATCCGTAATTCGAAATTCTTATCTAGATGAGAATATTACTCACCTCTGTTTCAAACAAGCCTGGACGAAAAATCTCGCGTCTGATCCTTCATCCCCTTTCTCTTGCTTGGGCCGAAATGACTAGAGCTGCGAAACAAAAAGAGGGAGTGAGAAGGCGAAGGGGAACGAGGGAACGGGACGTGGATGCTCGACGAACGAAACTCGCCCCTGGAAAACATATTGGGCCGTTAAGGGGTTCGCCGTTAAGGGGTAGTCTGCTTAATTGGCACGCCCGTTTAACCCTGAATTACACTGCCCGGATCGCGAAGCTTGAAACGACCGTGATCCAATGCCACCAGATTCCTCGTCAATGATTAATCATGGTTCAACTGTCGATGGACTTTGCACTTTAACGATCGTCGTGGGTGTTCGCATTCCTATGTTCAAATCATTCGAAACTGTTTAGATCAGAAAGTTTCGTTGTTTTAAACATCAAGGTAAGTCCGTCTAATTCAGATACGAATCCAATCATGGACACTTTCATATTTATTCCAACAATATCGTTGTTAGGTGTAGAAATTAATTCTTTGCCTTTGTATTCAATCATTTAAGACCCTACTTTGAATAGATATACTTATTCATCATTAAGTATATTAAAGTAACAACCTTTCAAGTCCTCACCCTGATCTATGTTTATTATAATGTACCTACATAAACACAACCTAAGTCTCAACCTGATGGCCATTGCAATGTATCTATACGAATTTTACTAACCATTAAATTTTGCTTGTTGTTATTCTTCTACAGTTACGGATATTATCGAGTACACTTATAATCTGTTAGAATAATAATAATACGTAATAAGTACAATTTTATGACAATCAAACTTTGTACATACATATATGTATGTTGTAATTTTCATCGGGCTAAGACTTAAATTATAGAATATACAGATTCATTGTAATCAAGATCAGATCGAGAACTTAGAAAGTTGGTACTTTAATAATATGATGAGTAAATATTTCAGAATGGAACTAATTTTTACACGTACTACCAACAGTTTGACGAGAGTATTATGATTTTGACTATAAGCGAAGTGTGTATGTTGAATTGATTAATATTAGAAACACTGTGATAATTATTTCAGATTTTACAACGCAATGAAATGGCAAGAGAAATAATGATAGATTTCGTGACAATAGATAATACATACATCAGTCGTGAAATCTACATAATATTTTGTTTGTGAGCTGTATAATCAAAAGAGAACTTCGATTTCATAGTATGTAATTCACTACTTAAAATGTAAAGTTAGAACCGTATAAAATGATAACTCAAATCTCTTCTATTTTTATATAAACAACGATATATTTTCATCTCAGCAACTTTCCTGTCATCGAGAACAAACATAATCGTTCCAACGTGGAAGGACTCTGTTGAAGGGATCCATCGTCATCCGTTGCTCTACGTTGCGGGACTCCATAATTGGTTCGTCGTCGACAATCACTCTAAAAATATAATTTCCGCAAGTGAGGTAATGAATCGAGTCGTGGATAGAGGATTGAAATAAATTCTGTTTTTATTCAGATAACGATGATATAAACTTCGTCGAAATTCTTGCGTATTGACTTGCAGCTCGATCCAGTGCGTCGATGATCGTATTTTCTCGAATGAAAGGGATTGATCGTGTCACTGAGAATGAATTACAAATTGTAACAGCATTTATTAATAATAATAATAACTAATAGTAATAATGACAATAATATTAATAGCGAGTCTTCTAATTACAATAATTACATAATGATAGTAATGGTACAACAATAAAAACTTTGGTAGCGAGAAGAGAGGAAGAATACAATTACTTGTTCTTTGGCGAGACTTCCGGTGGGAGCAGGGACGTTGCGCCACTCTGGTTGGAATAAATCGGCCCTCTAACGCGTGTTTCGTCTCTATTTATAATATTTATAGCCTCGACTCGTTTTGTATTTATACTCGTATTTATATTATGTATATATTTATACGCTTAGGCTAGGCGAGATACGGTGCTATTTTATTTACAAGTATTTTTTGGTCACAGTTGCAACTTTGGGGTAGGAGATGCCCTTTCTTGAACGATAGGTGCGGGAGATATGCAAAATACAGTACGCTTTGATCGTACTTTCTTACACGGAGTCGATCAACGACGATCGAACGAGTATTAACTGAAATTTGTCGCTCTCTTGAAAATCAAACCGGAGACGTGAGATTAGATTCACTTTCGCCACGTTCGATGTAACGTAACAGTTTGTCAAATTCAAGAAGACTCGAATAAAGTGCAATTCGGTAGCGTGATTTAATTTAGAACTCGTTCAATCGTCGCGAAAACCCACGTGTAAACGTTTACTTAATAAGAGAAGTACAGTGATTGATTATCGGTATTTAACAAACGATTCAACACGGAGAGTAGCGACGCTCGAAACAAAGAAACTTCTTCGATCGTCGACTTTCTGAATCATTCGAAGATCCGCTAAAAAGTCTCTACAACGATTTCACCGAAAAATCGCGGAAACAATGTCGATGAGTAATATCGTGCTTCGCCCAAGAAAAAGGATCGTCGAAAATTCTATTCTGTCCCATACTTTCTTGCTCGAATCGCGCATGGAATGTACAGCTTTGGTAACAATAATGCGTATCATTTACGCGCGTCTTACGTTCGTTTTCCACGCAGGGAAAACATTACGGAATCTTTGGTTACATTCTATGCAGCCAAATTAATCGTCCGCCAGCGGAGTTAGGTCAATTTTTACCCATATTTCACGTGAAAATTGTAAACCAGGACTTATATTGTGTCAGAAGTCAACCGAAGGTGATATACAGTGACGTGCAAAAGCTTTCGAGCAGATAGATTTTCCACTTTATATCCCGAAAGTGATATCTAAAGTAATTTCAACCTCTTGAGTGACGAATTACTTTATTAGAAATAAACAAAATTTCCAGTTAATATTTATCTAGAACATCTATCAATCTCGTGACGATGTTGTTGTATTATAACACTGGAAATTAAATTGTAAATATTTTTCTACGTTTCTAATAACTATTTTCACGCGATAATATACACAAGAATTCAGAAAATAAACGTACATGTATGTGCCAATGTCCATCAAGAGGTTAACTAATATTAAGTAGAAAAGTATAGTAATTAAAAGAAAACAGTGTAAAAAAATAAACTCTATTTACTATTTCGGAACTATATGTATATGTACCAAGTTGTGATATCGCTTTCGGAATACAATGTGGAAAATCTATCTGTCCAAACACTTTTGCACGCAACTATAAATGTATTCAATTTTATAAGACATTGGTCACGATTGCTTTTTTAATTATATCGAATGATGAATCGAAATAAAAAGTGTTTTAAAAGAAATTAGAAAATGAATCACAAATAAAATTATCACCGACGAAGAAGAGGAAGAGAATATTTTTCTTGAAGTTAGAGAATGAATAATAAATGTAATTCAAAAAAGAAAATTGTGCTGCAACATTTTAAAATTGAGGGAATGATTTGCACGTGTTCGACCACTTTCCATTTTGTTGGAAATCTAAACGGGTCAAAAATGTTTTCTTCGATAGCAAAGCATGATTAGAAGACCCTAAACTGCTTGTCGGTAAACAAATTTTATCTAAACATTTCTTAATACTTCCTGTTTCCTTCCTCACAAGTAAAAATCTGATCATGGGTAAAAAATGAGCCAGCTACTCCTTGCGTTCGTCTGTCGAACCTTCCGTAGTTCGACGCTTAAATAATAAATATAGAGTCCGTTCAATGTACAAAGTCGATGTACACGCTTCCCAACGGAATGTTCGCGTTCACGTTCGACGACGAAGGGATGCGAGATCTATCGACGTCCAACGAGTTCGTCGATTGCACCAAAAGGAACGTTTCGCGCGTTCCGATACATACGCTCTCAACTTGCCCCCTCGGAGGGTGAGGTTCACTGTTTATTCGAATATCGTTCGAGCGTCCTTCACTGCATCATAGAAGGGTTGCCATTGGGCAGAGAATTTTGTCCAGGAATGGCACCGATCGCGGGTCGTTGGGAAGCGTTCAGATCGGCGTGCTGGGTCTCTCGATGCCTTCTCAGGTCAACCTTTCGCTGAAAAGCACGACCGCAAAGCTCGCAGGCGAAGGGCTTGAACCCGGTGTGCTTCCTGGAGTGCGTGATCAGGTTACTGCTTTGTGAAAACGCTTTGCCGCATACCTGGCACTTGTGCGGCTTCTCGCCTGAAACAAAAATCATAAAAACATTGTCAGACTTCATATTCCATTAAAATAAATCACATGATCCATTTGTATGTGAATTACTTTAGAACGAATTGTCGAACTTGTCGAAAAACAACATTTAAGGCTCTCCTTTCTTTTTGCAATTCAATTCAAAAAGAAAATGATTGAAGCAAAAAAACATGATTCGTAATAAAAAGTAAATTTTGTAGCATAATTTTGAATTTCCTAAGAGGCAAAACTCATTAGCGTTTGAGTTTGAATTCGTTTCATTATTAACGAGTATTGAATTCAGTCGAAAAAGCCGAAAATTAATTTCTACACCTATTAGATCTATTGCGCGAAATTATTTCGTGTATTCTCTAATGGATTCCTATATTTTTAATGTAACGAAGTGAGTTATCATCGAACTCCGCAAATTGGTTCGATATTTAAACGTATTACATATTAACCCCCTGTTTATTGTTTATGGTCCAAATTTCTTACCAAGAGTCTCACTCGTCCTAGTAAGGCCAAAGGGTTAACATTTAAATGGAATACTTAGATGGTCTAGTCATATGTAGACCTATTCTACTTAAAATGTCAGACCAGGCTCCTGGTTCATATTATACCAAGCTACCAAGTTCTTTAATTGAACTAATGGATATCCATGTAAAGTTTCGTCAATATTGACGGCTTGTAATTCACTATACATACAGTGGCGAATATATATGCACTTATTATCGATGCGTACAATTTAGATTCGATTGTTGTTAGTATCATATAATGCGTATGTAAATTAATTTCTAGTGCAACTTGTTAAAGGCATGCATGTATAAGTAACAAATATAAAGTAAGTTTAAATGAACATACAGTCTACACATGTTATAAATACGAAGAATACATTTTCGATAACATAGTATTATTTTCAATATCAAAAATTTCAGAAAATATTATTTCAACTTATCGTAACGCTAATATTTTATTGATTTGCACTTTGCATTAATAGGCAAAGCATTTTGCATAGATTCTTTGCTCTAACACTCCCCTACTATTACTTGAAGGACTTCCACAGAAGAAAATAGAAAAGATATCAGCAAGTTACTCCCGCTCACGACGCACATTCATAAAGTTCTCATAGTATTCCTTGCCTCACCAAATCAATTATGTAGTTTATTTATTTACTTACTAATATATAGATTCTATATTCAATATTATTACATTAAACGAGCCGTTTATTGCACAAATCGACTTTTTGAAACGTCTTAAATTTAAGTCCCAAAGCACTTGGTATAGTCATAACTTTTTATATTTATAATAACTGTCCCGAAAAGGAAAGAACTTTTTTCAATGCTTATTTGAATTTATATTATAAAGGAAATTTCAAAAAACAATGTACATTATTTCATCGTATTTCTCAACTTTTTGTTTTATCGAGTTAATCGATTTGTGCAACGAACTGCTCAAATATTGCACTACCTCACTCGATAATCACTGCGATACCATTATTGTATTAAATAAATCATAGTATTAAAAAATGAATAAGTGTAAACACAGTCAATTGAACTCACTGCCAAATATTCTTATAAGTATAGATGAAATAGAGAAGTCCGATAACGCCTAGGATTCGCATCCTCGGAAGAACAATGTTTAAAGAGAACGAATCGGCACGGCAGTACCCATAACCAATCTGCCTCTATTCTCTAGCTAGACGATAACGGTGGTCCTCCGAATGGATCGAAATCTCTCCGTCGACAGCTAGACAATTCGCTCGCCTCAGGCTCGACATTCTGGCGGTCTGGAGCGTTAATTCGGAAAGCATCGCGGTGCTTAGCTCTCAGCCCTGACGATAGCATCCTCGTGCACGGGTTCTGACGTAGCCCGACGGATACGCTCCCGCGGAAGGTGGAGGTGTTCCACAGGGGGTGGTATCACAAATGCGGGGCACGCCCGGTCAAGATTTCCTCCCAAGCGAGAATCTCAGCCTCCCCGGCGGCGAGGCAGAGAGAAGAGATCGCGGATGGTGAGACAGGGTTGCGGGGGTGTGGTGGAGTCGTACGGTAGCGCTCTGGTGGGATGGCGAGAGCACAGGGGTGGATGGAGCAGGCCTGGTAGCCGTTCGTTCTCTCTTGCTGTGGCCGCGAGTTCTGATTGGCGGCCGGGGGCGGCTCCAACCCCCGCGTTACCATGACTACCGACGGGATAACCCGGCGGTCGACTGGGAAAGAAAGAGAAAAGGCTCGCGACGGTGAGAGGCCGCGACGCGGAGAGGGGTGAGAAATGATTTCCAAGGGTGGAGAGGGACAGTCAATCGGATAGTTGCACGGGGAAAAAAGGGAGACAAAAAGGTATAGGCGGGAGAGGAAGAATTTCCGCGAAACGAGGGAGACGGGAAGCGCGATCAAGGCGAAAGGAGAGAGAGGATGGCTCCAGCAATGCGAACTATGCTGCCTGGAGGGCAGCGGAGGCCCGTTAATGGACTCCCCTATCCGCTCGCAGCAGTCGCTGGCTACGTTTGTCCGAGAGTTTCACGCAGACATCGACGAGAAACGCACCCACACATGGCCGAGATCACCGTGAGGCGGTGGGTGGATCCATAAACAACTCGTTAGCCAAGCCTTCAATCTCGCCCCGCCGATACGAGCGGCCCGTCGATCACCTTTCCGATTATACCCGATCGTTATCTTGATTTCTTTTCGGATAAACTGCGCGCCGTTTTGATTTTTTTTTTCCCCTCCGCATTTCACCGACGCCGCGCGCTAACGACGTTTTCGACGATTAGGCTCAATTGGAGACGCGTTAGAATGAGGTTTCGATGATTGTCGTACATTTCAGGGTCCAATAAAATGTTCGATATGTTAAATTGTATTCACTTCACACCGACACAAGTGCGCACTTTCTTTTTCTTCTACGATATTGCCGTAATTTTTTTATCCGGTTTTAATTGTGAATGAGAAATTCCAAACTTAAGATTACCGAGTGTTCGATCAATAAAGAACAACATTTCACTGAATTATTTATTTCCAACTCTAAATTAGGATTCTAACGAAGAAAAAGTAGTCATGGGGTTCGAAGAAGGAAGAGGAATTTCAGTTTCGTTGGAAAGCGATTCGCCGAGTCGGGATGTCATCGAGCAATTTGAATTTCACACGGGGAACAACCGCAACGATTTCAGAACATTTCAAATCGAGATTCAAGGGAGGATTCAGGGTTAAGGGTGAGTCGTCAAGGGCGTTCCGGCGGAATTCGTCGGGGCTGGCGCTCGATGAAATTCCACGGAGTTCTCCGTGCACGGATGAAACGGCAGAATGAATAGAATTTTCACGGCGTTAAGCGAGAAGCTGGAAAACCGGAGAGAAATGAGACCGGAGAACGAAGGTAGCCGTAGGTGGGGTCGTTTGAAATTTACGCGGCCGTAAAATCAAAAACTTCCCCGACCGAGGTTTCCTATTCGATCCGAATCTGTTCGAAAAATCACACTGAACGTTTATGCTCGCCCCATTAAAATTACTCGACTTAAAATTAAAATAACTCTTTCGAAAATCGAAAATCGTTATCCGAATCAAGTTTTTTGTACAGACTCTTTGAAACATTTCAAACAAACAGGGGCACGGATTTTGCGATTTGATCATTTTTCCTACATATTCAATTTTCCATCAATTCAGCGTTGAAAATCACATAAGAATACTCATTTTCGAAATTATTAGGAGGACCGAAAAGTAATCAATATGTCTTTGACTTGGAAATGTTTTTCAATAAAAAATCGAAGGACTTTCTTAAAAAGGGAATCGAACAACTGCTTTTACGCTAGCAAAAGTGTTAAAAAATGGTGGAAATTATTTTGTTGATTAATATTTAAGAAAACTAGGAAAATATTAATAGAGAGAAAAATATAAAATCTAACAATTAAGAAGGCAATTTACACGCAACTTTCTTGAACTGTAACTTTCTCGAATCTTTAAAGTACTTTTTGAACGGATAATATTATAAATATAGCTTAGACTCGTGTTTATACTCTGTTAAAATTCTGCTTCATTTTTTAATTATAAAAGTTAAAATGTAATTGTAGTTTGCTGAAAGGTTAAAATTAATCTGATCTGTTGGGAATAAAAAGTGTACTTTGTTGTGGTTTCTCGAGCAATCCGTGTATTATTGTGGTACGACAATAGACAGAATAACCCGCAATCTAGAATTAAGCTGTAAATCATGGTGAAATATTAACGTAACGAAAGGACGAGAAAAGATATATAGAGATTGGTAACAGTATAATCTCCTACATCCTCTAGATTGTTCTATAGAATTCAATGATTTACTCAACGAGAATATGCCGTTTCTAGTCAGACCAACTTTACATCTCGGCATTGTGAACTGATTTCCGTTTTATTTATTAGGAATAGTGAATTAGAAAACAATGAGATTTAATATTCTGCCTTCTATATATATAGATTAATATAGCCTTCGCTGGCTACAAGAGGCACATGTTATGATTGTTCAACTAGAAAAAAACATTGGAGTACCTTATTGAAAGTATCGATTAGTACGGATCAGGCCGTGAAAGGTTCAAATATGATACACTACCCTAATCCCGACATCCTTTCAATTATTCGTACCTTCATTAAAAATTATAATTATAAATAATTAATTATCACATTATGGACACCATGTAAGAAGCATAGGTAACATTGAAATCTGGTATCAATAAAATGCAAGGATTTAAAAATTACACGATTTGTTAACATGTTTACGAATACAAGAAAGGAAGTATTATTAATGGTGAAACGTTGACATGACAAAGAATTTAGTTTTATAAAATTACACCAATAAAATAACATGCGAGTGGAAATGTAATAAAATGTAATAATTATATTTGCATTAGTAAATTGCATTTCTTGCTAACTAAAATATCTAGTGTGTATGTAAACAACACTTTCAACTTTTCTCTCGTAGTCTTAATAATCCAGCACGTCTCGATTTATCCGTATCGTCTCGATCACAACGAAGCCGTTTAAAAGAGGTACCAGAAA